TCTGTGCTTGCTGCTGTGCTGTGATCCGTTTTAGTTTTTGTCTTTAATATATAATAATTAATCCGATACAATTTTTACAACCTTTTTGACCGCCTGATTATATTCTTGGATCATATGGATCTGCTGGTCTGTCGTCACTTTGATATAATCCCATTCCCATGGATAGATGCATGTCCATGGACTATGGTATCCATTCATTCAATATATCATAGATAAAATATAATGGGCACGTGGCCAGTTTAGAGCAAGAGATCACTCCTCCAGTTCAGATCATGGTTTTTAAAAACGAACAATGATCAAACCGGTTAGGGGTTTGGTTATCGGTTCGAATGGTCCGATCATTCGACCTGAATGGCCAGCCCATTTTAACCAAAAAAATTAAAAAATTGAAAAGCAGTCAAAACGGTTAGAATGGTTCGAATGATTAACCAACTGATTTAGCAGTTTATTGACCAAAATCAACAGTTTTGGAAAAAAACAAAACCGATCAGATAATGATTCCCGGTTTTTCCGATCCAGTCCGGTTTTGAAAAGAGTGGTCCATACAGCTAAGAAGCATGCCGCCGAGATTGACGATGAAGTTGTGGGAAGAATAGACGTCATAACTACTTAAATAGGTGTTCCACATCAGCTTTCCACAAAATTCCAAAATTCCACAGCTAAGGAAAAGATGTGACAAGATTGCATGACATGGAGGATGTGGCGCATGCAACATTTATGATATCTCAGTTGTTACGAATTTCAACCAAACAATATTCAATTTGGGTTTCCCTAAAATATTCTACGTCCTAAACGTTTGTCTCCTCCTTCCCAGGATAATATGTGTGCAATGAAAATGAAAAGTGATCAAATATAGATAAAAAGAAAACAAAATATAGGAAGGAATTGAAGAAGCAGTGGCAGGCGAAGGATACATAGCTAAAATGGAATTATTCCACTTTCCAAGTTGCAACTTTTTTACTTATTGGTTGCATTCGATAGGGAATGGGATTGAATGAATTCACAAGGGTTGATGTAGTGTTTCATTGGACTTTAGGGTTGGGGGGTGTGATTTCCCTTTAATTTAACACTAACACACAGTCATATCAATTCATGTCATTGATCAATAACATGGGCAGACTCGCACGAACCCAATGACGACAAGACAACCCATGTAGAGATTTAATGCAATTGTAGTGTGGTTGAGGGAACGTAACATCTTGGGATTTGAGAATTTATTTTTATCTTAAAAGGGCTTTTCCTTCCTCTACCCTCATAATATATTTGATATGGTAGAGCATATTATGCTTCGTGCATGCGGATGGAAATCATGGAATGTAGGGTCAGCGTCCGTCCGTCTCAGTTTCTTCTCCTTCAATTTCATTCATGTGGCCTACTTACATTAATTTCAGATTTATTGAGAGGTGGTCAAACCAAGTCTTTTATCTTTCCATTTTATTTATTTTTCTGGTGTGATATGAAATATATCTGGGCTTTCCTTTTTCGGTAAAAGAGATGAATATATCGAGGAGTCCCACCCCAGACGCACATTTTAACTCAGCACTTCAATTATAATTATTATCCATCCAAATTTGATATTATATAATATTTATATGTATTGGTATGTATATATATATATATATATATATATATATATATACTTTGTTTGTAACAAACTTTATGATGATGATGATGATGATTATAATATGTTTTCAAAATTTATATTTTATGTTTATAAAAATTATTTTTATTGGTCATAGAGATATGTCCAAATGTTTTACTATATAATTATATTTTCATGTCTATAAATATAAAAATATATTTAGATATTTTTGTGTTTTATCTTTGTTAAAATTTTATTATATAATTATAATTTCATAAGTTGATAAATTTGATTTTGAGATGTTGAATTGAATTTTATTATTTAATTATATATCCATGGCATAATATTAATTATATTGTTTTGGATAATCCATTTAATTATGCCCACTCTACGTACCTGTTTTAGTTTGTAAAATGAAAGATGGGACTGATTTCGTCAAACATTAATGAACAGAAAAAAAAAACCCTCTTTTAAAAAAATTGAAGAAGGTGGAGCTGGCCTGCTGCTGCTGGGGCTGGGGGGCATTTATTTATTTATAATCTCCACTAAATTTAACAGACAAATGACTAGAAAAAGAAATAATAAACTGATTCTTAGTCTAACTGTGCGTGTGAAATGCAAGAATGAGAATCTGTCAGTCACGTGTTATCCTTAATGTTGTTTAATTAGGGAAAGAGTTATAAATTAAAAACGACTAAACATATTATACTCATACGTACACGGTACACCATGTGGAATATAATGAATAGGTTTCATTAATTAAAAACAATGAATGAAAGTCCATTTGTAAGTCAACTTGAATGCTTTTACATTTTCTTTATTCAATTTGKCGCCATTATATTAACAGCTCTACTGCTTACAGATTTCATCATATTTGTATAATTGGCAAGTATATTAATTACTATTACAACTGGAAAAGGAGAACCCATCCCATGTATGATGTAGGTCTTACCAAGTGTCTCATCTCATGCACAGCTAATATAATTAGAGATACAAAAGCAAGCTTATTTTCCTCTATATATATATATATATTGAGATGTATTTGGTTTTGTTTTTGAAAACGACCAAATAATCCTAAAAAGTAAGAAACCGTCCCCAGCAACTTAGAAAGACGGACCCCATGCCATAACAAAAAAACACTATTTCCACATACCTTCTCCTGTGGATATGATTTTTCATGTTTCTCGTTTTCTTAAAACACGCATGAGTTGAGACTTTGGCTTGATTTTATGGTATGAACTTTGATGAATAATATGAGATCGGATCCAGTAGCATACATTCAGTGAATACTTTATAAACATTCTGACAATCATTATAAGTTATATTTAATCTTTTTCAAGGGTAGCTTAGGGTATTTAAAGGAACAGATGTAAAAAAATTCAAAAGTGCTCATTTAACTTGTTTACAATACAATGATGTACCTATCTAATCCAAACTCGAATTACATATATATATATATATATATATATATATATATATATATGGCCCTAGTGGTGGAAAGTGGGAACTGGGGAACCGCTTGATAATTACTGATTAACAGTTGGATCTTGGATGAGATGGTTTATTAGAAATAGAACATCCCTAAATCAGATGATGGTGGGTGGATAATTCATAAGGGGGCCCATATCTGTACCTATACCCATGCCCATAATGTAACAGTTTTGAGTAAGGCTTTATCCAAAGTACAAACAGTAGCATGCTGGGTTGCCCACCTGTTGGTGGTGGGGGGTACAACCATAAAGCACAACACATGACTGATGATTCCACCAAACATCATATTCCAACTGGCCCTTTCAAGTGATGAGATATGGAGAGAGAGAGAGAGAGATATGATCAATCAAAATAAAAAGAAGATTCAAATGGTTATTCTATTATTAAAAGTTGTGGTGGAAGGATCTACTTGTGTGTATGTGTGTATGCGCCTGCCATTTCTAAGCAAATTAAAGCAAATGAGGAGCAGTAGAGAGTAGTAATGCCAACGTACTTGAAACTTGAAATCCAAAGTTGAATCGAGACCAGGCACCTTCTACCGGTTTTCCCTTTCTATTCCTAAGTTAATGTTTAGTTTAAAGGAAATAGGAAAAAGAAGATAAAGGTAGGAAAATTTTTACAAACCTTGTATGAATTTTCTTACCTTCCCTTTTCTTTTCCTACTTTTTCCTTCAAATTAAACACAGCCTAAGAGTGATGGCCTTATTCTCTTATTCATTCTTTGGTAACAATTAATTAAGTACCTCATGAATATGGCTGATTGGCAATTCATACACAATTACATTGAATTAGTTAGTTACTTGGCCGAGGCTTAATATTAATATTGGTACTACAAAATTAAATGCAGTATTAAAAAAATATTTAATTTAAACATGTGCAAATTCCAAGTTCTAAATTAACAAGCTCTTTATTTTGGATGTCCATGACCATGAGATGATGTTTTAACTTCCAATTTCTTTTTCTTGCAGCAAAGTGTGACAGATGTTTCAATTTGAGAGTTGAGTTGTACAGTTACCAATTGACAGCTGTTTCGTATAATTAAATATATATTCACTATTATTATTATTATTATTATTAATTTTGGTTAATTATAACTTATAAATACAGCACAAAACAAATCAAGAAGGCTACGAATATATATCTCTCTCTTCTGATGCGGCACAGGTTATATAGGCCATTCAACTAATATTATTATATGCATATCAGAATCATAATGTGCAATATCATAAATTATGATAATAAAGAATAAAACCGATGGTGATTCAATAGACAACCCTGTGGTTCAATAATATCAGTATTAGCGTAACCCCACTTTGTTTAATTAGTGTTTACCACTCATTAATCTTATTTTCAAGCCGCAATTAAATGAAATGAATGTGATCGACCAAACAAGACATGATAAGAGCTAGCGCTTTCATTTCACCACTCACCAGCAGGACTCTTGTTTGCCCGTTTCATCAAATACTAATTCCATGCGTCAGTCGTGTGGCCGTTGAAAAAATTCAGACAACAGCAGAACCAACCCTTTGGATTAATTTCATCAAATACATCCTTTGGATTAATTTCAATATTGTTCCCGGCCCCAACTGAACCAACCCTTACCAATCAATACCTTCCAAACATGTCAATGCGTAAAATAAATTATTGACACACATTAACGATTATTAATCCTCTAGTCCTCTCCCTCTCTACCTCTACCAGACTACCAGTAGAGATGTATAGCTGTAATACTACTATATATCTATACGCTATCTATATTAAATTACGCTTCTTTATTAATTTGTTTTGAGCTCAAAAACAAAACAAAGACGCAGATAAAGTGGTTGTACAGCCCAAAACGAAAAGTCGAAAACGTCCAAAAATAATTATTCCAGTGTACATATAAATATTTAAATATATATTTTTTGCCTACAAAAGGATTTGCACACTGCCTCACTTTACTGCAGAGTAATCAGAGAACCTCTCTCTCTCTCTCTCGCTCTCTCGCTCTCGTTCTCGCTCGGGGTAATGTGTGTGCCGAGAGACTAGAAGAAGACCCATCATCTTTCTTTCATTTGCATCCCCTAACCTTGTTTCTCAGTTCAGCCAGTCACAACCTCGTTTTTGAATAGATTTTTCTTTTTGTTTTGCAGAAATATGGCTTCATTACTCTGGACTCTATGTTTTGCTTTCTTGTTTCTGACCCATGCCACACTGGCTGCTCCGCCAAGGAGGCCTGTGAATGTACCATTTTATCGCAACTATGTGCCTACATGGGCTTTTGATCACATCAAATACTTCAATGGCGGTAATGAGGTTCAGCTCGTTTTGGATAAATACACAGGTAAATAGTTAATACATCCCCCCCCCCCCCCCCCCATCTAATTTTTTAATTTCATTCTTTACTTTACACTCTAGTTAAGTAGGATTCGCAACAATCTCAATCTGATCATCGGGAGGGTTCTTAGTTCTTTGAATCTTTTTTCCGTGAAGGTACTGGCTTTCAATCCAAGGGCTCTTACTTGTTTGGTCACTTCAGCATGGACATAAAGTTGGTTCCAGGGGACTCTGCTGGAACCGTAACTGCCTTCTATGTAAGTGGCTTCCCTTTCGTCTCCACTGTCAAGTGTAAACCATTAATTCATTCATTCCTTCCAGCAATATCCATTTTATTCTTCTGATTGTAATATTTAATTTCTTGGGTATTTTATGGCTTCTCCTCAGTTATCTTCTCAAAACTCAGAGCATGATGAGATAGACTTCGAGTTCCTGGGAAACAGGACAGGGCAGCCCTACATTTTACAGACAAATGTCTTCACAGGTGGAAAAGGAGACAGAGAACAGAGGATCTATCTCTGGTTTGATCCAACCACAGAGTACCATTCCTACTCGGTTCTATGGAACATGTATCAGATAGTGTACGTTCCTCTTTCTCACTTGCTTGTCAGTTTTTGGCAAATCGATCGGGTAATTACAATGACCACCCAAACCAAACCCAATCAAAGCTACTCAAGTCTTCTAGAGTCACACACACACACACACACTATGAAAGCTTTAGCTTTTAGCTTTAGAAGAAAACGATAAAATAAAAACAAAGACTGAGCTGAGCTGAGATATTTTCCTTAAACCCATTTCACTTTAATAACTCCGGTCGGTCTCTGTGTCTGATCGAGCTTAATACTTATTGTCACCAGTCTTCCCTAACACCAAATAACTAATACACCATAAGATACAAGAACTAAGAAGTATGTTTTCCTTGGGCACCAGTTTGAACCAAAATATTGGCGAGTTAATCAACAAAGGAGAGGGCCCGGCTACTAAGAATAAGAGTTTGTTAATTCTTTGCAGAATGAATACTCTTTGGATACTTGATACTACTTGATGCTTTAAGATTATCAAGCTAGTTCATCTTGAACTTGAACTTTGTAATAATTAAATCAAATATCATAATGTACTGAATCAACTTTTGTCCCGTGTATTTCGTATCATCAGCACCAATGTTGAAAGCGTAAACACGTGACAATTTGAAATAAAAAGGGGCCAAACAGAAACGCACCATTCCCACTGTTTATTTTCTTTTTTGTTTACCTCAATTTAATTTGTTTCATCAAGGTCACAACGTGTAATGGTGGGCATCTTTTGTATTGTTAAGACTTAAGACTTAAGACCAGAGCAGAATGATTGAAATCCAGTTTGATGATGATGATGATGATGTGAGCAGATTCTTTGTGGACGACGTTCCAATCAGAGTATTCAAGAACTGCAAGGATCTGGGAGTGAGGTTCCCTTTCAACCAACCCATGAAGATATATTCAAGTCTGTGGAACGCAGATGACTGGGCCACAAGGGGTGGTTTAGAGAAGACTGACTGGTCCAAGGCCCCATTTGTGGCCTCCTACAGGAGCTTTCACATCGACGGCTGTGAGGCGTCTGTATATGCAAAGTATTGTGACACCCAAGGCAAGAGATGGTGGGACCAGAGGGACTTCCAAGATCTTGATGGGTTTCAGTACAGAAGGCTTAAGTGGGTCCGTGACAAATACACCATCTACAACTACTGCACCGATAGAGCGAGGTACCCTTCAATGCCGCCTGAATGCCAAAGGGACAGAGATGTTTAAAATAAATTTAGGTTTTGGTACTATATATGGATATGCATTGTGGGGTTTCTTCTTTAATTATTCTCTGTTTTCATCATCATCATCATCACCAGCTCCATTAATTATAATTATGTTGTAATTGTTTTTGTTATGTTGGGTCCAATATGGTGAGTGGAGTAACAACTTGTATTATAGAAAATGGGATTCCATCTTGGATGCAAGATGGGAAGGTGGCAGACCCTGTTTGATGACTTTCTCTTCTTACTGTTATTATTATTATTGTTTCTTGTAATGGAAAAAAAAATAGAGAAATTTGTCTTTATAAATTAAATTTGATGGGCCTGGGCCCTGATGGCATTAAGCAATATTTGTTCTTGACTTGTTGAGTGTGTGGGCGTAAATGATAATGGGAGTGGGTTCTCTTGGGAATTCAGATTAACTGAACAATGAACATGATGATGGCTGTTCAAAAATCAAAATGGACCTTCTTAATTTGGCAGGCATAAGGAAAGTGGGTATAATGAGAATAATATCCATGAACATCAATGAAAGCTTGCATATTAGACCAAAAAATTATTATATAGGACATAGCTCTGGTGTTGTGAAGCCATCAGTGTTGAGCTTGCCACTAATAATATTAGTCTTCATATTGCCGACATCAACATTTGTTAATTTTCTTCCAACTTGGGGGGTTTTTGATTCGTTTTGGCAAAGTGTTTTGCCCCCAGTTTACAATTTGATAAAAGTATGATTGAGTAGAGTAGGGGTAGGGGTGCTGCCGTGCTGGTGGTAGGGATGATTAATTAGTTAGTTAATTGTTTTATGGAAGAAGACAGGACTCCGAACAACCTAGGAACATGGCAAAGTAGGTGGTTTGCATATTTTAATTGGTAACTCAAATGGCTCTGCAGGTTATTGCGAGTCTCGATCGTTTAATTTACTATCGTCCCCTTATTTATAGGTTAAATCGGAGCCTGAGAACCCTTGTCGTTTGGTCTGAATGAATTCTTAGGGTCCGTTTGGTTTGCAATCAGAATAAGAATCGAAATTTTTTGGAATGGTCTATTCTCATAATCTATTTAGTTAGATAGGAATGRAAATGGGAATGGAAATTRAAATCAGTAAGAATGAAATTTCATTTTCAAAAGAGGGACAGAGACAGAAAATARCTATTCCCTCAAATAAGGGAATACCATTTCAACAAGAATAAAAATAAAATTCAGATTCAATCCAACCAAACCATTGAAACCAAATTAAACCAAATGGGCCTTATTATTTTTTGTAAGTTAAAAGCTTAAATGGCCAATATTATTTGTTTGATACCCGTATCTGATTGACCCCAGCCGTCATCTCTCCATGGCAGGTCGGGTCAGGGAGCTAAGCTTAACTCCCTGCTTGGCCACACTGAAAGCCTTCTGTCCTTCTATATTATGATTATCATATTCACGTGATTGGACCACATAACTAGATATAGATATTCAAAGTAGGCATATGCTGAATGCATGTGACAATATCGATCCAATGGACAGTTTTAGTTTATATATTTGGCCGCCACAGGATTTCTCCATCTGGCAAAAAAATAGAGTAGGCAACTTTCTAAATTGCATGAGTTGATTTTTTCCCGTGTGTGTGTGTTTGGTAAAAGGATGACACCTATACAAGGCTAAAGATGTGAAAATTAATGGAGTTTATAAATATAATAAAAATCATAAATATTTTTATGAAAATTATTAAATAATGAGAATTAATGGAGTTTATATTAAAAAATGATGCTTGGGTTGGATTTGAACCAACTTGGCCCAGTTGGAAATGCCATCAGACTTTTCTGGCTTCAATTTCGTTACACAAGAGGTCCCGATTAGTTTCAAAAGGAGGTATTCTACATTTCTACTTTCAATAATTAAAATTGTAAGAGCAAGTTTGAGTTTGAGGGATAAAAGATAAGTTGTTCTGTTACAGACTTACAGCCTTACAGGAGTCAGGTGGGAGGAAGCTGTGTATGAGGTAACAACACTAAAGGTAACAACACTAAAGACCAAGCAAATTAAGGGTAGACTTAAATGAGTTGGCCTGATGATATATCATTGGGCCAGTAGAGGATCCATCTTTCCCACTAATTCTCTTTCATACCATATCTGTTCTTCTTTCCTGTAATTCTTTCTCCTATTTCTCAACCTTTTAAGGCTCCATTTGATTTGTGGGAAGATTTGGGTGGGATAAGATGGAATGGAAAAATATAAAATTTTAACTTTCTAATATTTGGTTTTATATATAGGAAACTAATAGGAAAAGTATTATCACGATGGCTTGGTTCTTCGCCAGAAGAAGAAGAAGAAGGTGAGGGAGGAAGACGAGAAGAATAGGAAGAAGAAGAAGGTGTGGGAGAGGAGAGAAGAGGAAGATGGAGGGAGAAATAGAGAATAAAGAAGGTAGTAGATCGATAGTAGCAGATCGCTGTTGCCTGGTTCTCTTGCCGCCGCCACCTCTTCTGTTCAATGGTAGCAGATCGCTGCTGCCTGGTTCTCTTGCCATCGCTGCCTCCTCTGTTCGAACGGGGAAGGCAATGAATAGTGGTTCCTTGCCAATAATTGGTGAAGAAAATAGTGGAGAATAGGTCGGGCCGCACTGTTCATTGTCGTTGTTTGCCGTTGTTCGTCATCGTCGCTGAAAGGCAATGAACAGTGGTTTCTCGAGTTTTTCCAAGTGCGACCCCAATTCTACGATTTTGGGATCTCGCATCCTACCCTTTTCTCATCCCATCCCTCTATTTCCCTCAAAACAAATAAAAAAAATGAATATTTTTGAAATATTTCCTTTTTCTCATCCCCATCCCACGAACCAAACAGAGCCTAAAGACGCATAATATATGTAACTATAATATTCAAATGAAAACACAGTATTTAAGATGAAAAAAAAAAAACAAAGTAGGGAATGCAAATTGGGTTGCCTGATTTGAATAATTTCAACTTGGGAATCAGGCCCATCCAAAATTTAACAATATCACGACCGAAGATGCACCACTAGGTAGAAGTGGATTTGCAACTTAAGTCTTTTAGTGGTTTTTCTACATGATCCATGAATCTTACATGTACAGTTTGGACTTAAAAAGTTGTCTTTCAATTCATCTCTCACCACTGTTTATATATTTATGAAAAGTAATTTTCTAACCGATTGGGTTGTGGAATCGAGCATGAGATCAATCTAGTGGCTTGATCATAGCTGGTGGGACCATTCATGGGAAGCTCCCTCTCGTTAATCCCCTGTTTTTCTGCGCAAATAGTAATTGGAGTAAGGCATGTTCACGCATCATTACTATATTTTTTCTGCATTGGGTTTTCGGAACAACTCTTAACTTAAGAAGCAACCTTAATGTATCTGTGGAGCCTGGCCGGGTCTGCTGCTTACCTGCGATTTGGAGCCATTGCTGGATATCCATTTATTATTATTATTTTTCTTTTAAAGAAAAAGAATCCACCTTTGAGTCTGTAATGCTGAGCACCATTGTTGAATATCCGGTATATTCCTACATTTTTTTTGTGACAGAATGCACAAGTAACTTGATGGTGTGCAACCCGGCGGATCCTATCTGTCAATGACCTTGCCTCTGATTGGAGCAATGGGGGGCCTGAAACGGAGAAGAAAGTGGGGAATCTCCGGGGAGGAACCCAGCGAGATCACTCCGAAGCTCAATTTAGTATTCTCTCAAAGGCAAGATAAAACCAGATGGCGCAAAGTTTCCATACCTCGTCCTCGGGGGGTAGAGAGCCTTTTTATAACCACCTCGCGCACTCACTCTGAGGCCTCTTTCAGGTCGGGTATGATTACTTCTGTGCTTCTGCCAGTTCRGGTGTCATCACCTCTGTTGGGATAGAACCGCCACTGCTCCTTGTCGGAGCCATCTCTGTAACTGGAGATGGCGGTGGCAGGTGGCCGTTGAAATGCGGCTGTCAAGCGTCAGATCCCAAGTCAGTCAGGTGCACCGCCCCTGGATACAGACACCTTCGATGTCAGGTACGGTTTGTTCAGTTCGGTGTTCCGGGGGTGAAGTGCTGGAGTGGTATGCGAGGTTAAGTCTTGAGTTCGGATAGAAGTGTGGCCCGAACTGCCGTGGGGCAAGCCAGTTCGGGTTGTTGCCCTTTGTGTTCGTAAGGCTCGGGGCCTAAGGGAGAGTTCGGGCTCCTTACTGGGAGTTCGGGCTCCTTGCGGGGAGTTCGGACCACTGGTTCCTCCTCTTGGAGCTCGTGCCTTGGCAAGCTGTTGTGCCGAACTATTGCCTTTGCCACGTGTTGAGTGGTTACGAGGTCGGGCCAAATCTTCCTTCATCAATTAACCCCACTCCTTGTGCTAAGGGTCTTGCCCTAGCGCGGGGAGTTCGCGAGGTGGCGGGTGGATTTGTCCTATATTTCGGTTTGATTGATAGCGCGAGGTGCGCCGTCATGATTTTTTGGGTTTCTCAAGCGCCCAAAAGACGGGAAACGCGTCGATCTGCCTACAAATGCTGACAGACGTGACAACGCGCGCCGTATTTCAAAATTCAAAAAGCGCGCCGCTGGGAGACGTGACAGCGCGCGCTTTATTTCAAAATTCAAAAAAGCGCGCCGCTGGGAGATGCGACAGCGGGCGTCTTTTCAAATTTGAAAACGTGCTGCTGCCGCCTTTAATGTGAGGAGACGTGCAGTCAGTTTCGAGAGACGTGTGGCCAATCACGTCTTGGTCTCAGGAGACGTGCGGTCAGCGCGACTGCGCGCCGTCGGATTGGCTTTGATCTGAGACGTTGATTCTTGGTTACTGTGGGTATAAATAGTGGGGGGACCCTAGTTCCTTGTCACTTCWGCGCTTTGCTTCTTGAGCTCGAGTCCAAGTTTCAGCTCGCGTCCAAGCCTTTAGTTCGCCTTCAAGGTCTTCTGCTCGTGTTCAAGTTCCCGTAGTTTGTTCAAGCATTTTTTYGGGTGAGTACTTTCCTGGGATCCATCTTCTCTCCCCGATGTCTAACTCGGATAGCTCAGACGGTTCTTCAAGGGGGTCCGATGCAGGTTCTACAAACCGAGTTGCATCCTCTAATGGTCCTAGCGAACCGGAGGTAGAGCTCGAGGAAGAGTTCGAACCCGTAGGTCGAGCCGCCTCGGGTAGCTTGGCGTCCACCTCTCGTCGAGGTTGGACGTTAGCAAGTTCGGTCCCTCGACCATGACGCCTGAGGGGCTCCAATCCCTTATTAACTATTACAACTTGCCTGGGGAGTACGCCTACTTCATACCTTCGGGTAGCTTTCCTTGGGAACACGGTCCTGAAGAGATCGTGATATTCCGGGAG